TTTTTTTTTTTTTTTTTTTGTTTCTGTTTCTTGTTTTTGTTTTTGGTGTGTCCATACAAGATGTTGAGTGTTGGACCCTCTCGCTATGACATCCTGGTGACATTTTACCAGGTTCAGAGGGCTAAGTCTCCCCCCACCCTCCCGTGCTGCCCAGTAGGATGCTGGGGCCTAGAGCCCCAGTTTGTGTAGCATGACCCTGTGCTTTCACTTGGTGTCACTGTGCTGCCCTGCAAAGTCGGGGTTACCAACTTGGGTCTGTTTGCTTAATTTTGTACCCTCAACACCCTGGACATGGGGCAGGTGAGACAGGATAACAGACACCGGTTTTTAGAAATATGGGACCCTGGATGCCCTTCGTAAGTTCACACCTGCCACTCTGTTTCAAAGCTTTCCATTGATCCAGTGATTCAGTGTTGTGGCTTTGGAGGGGAGGGCGAGTGAAGGATGGCAGTGACAGAGGACACAGGTTCAGAGCTGGCCTGAGGGTAGACATTCGGCGGTTGCTGTCTGAGATCTCTATTTGAGGTTACTGCTATGATGCCTGGTGAATTAGGGCTTGGTGAGTTTCTGCCATTGCAGCCAGTCTTGGTAAGTGTGTCCCCAGAGTAGGGGAGCCAGCCAGGTGGCCGTGTGTCTCTGTATCAGAGGTTTTTCTCTTTCCCTCTATTTGGGTCTTTCCCACACCAGGACTTTGGGTCTTCTGGTTTTCGTGTCTGGGTGTGGGGATGGAGTGTCGGTCCAGGAGGATCTCTGTGTGCTGTGTGCTGGGCTCCTCTCTGCTCTCCCCTCTCTGTGCCCCCTTTTGTGATACCATGTCTTTTCTCTTTTCCAGGGCTCCATGAGAGTTTCCCCAAACATCCAGCCTCAGCCACAACCTGTCAGGTACACCTGGCACACAGGGAAGGGATGGGGTGTGGGCATTCTCATGTCCCATCCTGGGTCCTGAGACTGGTGCTGTATAGCCTGGAGTTGGTGGCCCTTGGCCTTCATTGTTGTGAGATACAAACCAGACCCTGAGGTAGACTCTATATTTTCCTGCATGAGCTCATCAGTCCTTGTCACAGCACTGAAGGTCTGTGTGTTGGCAAATGAGTTGCTGAGTGCCTGCAGTGACGTGTTCAAGGTCACCCACTGCCCAGAAGCAGCACTCAGAGCCGGCTACAATCAAGGCCAATGCTGGTTCTGACTTTTTGCGGATGAGATCTCTGAGGGCGGGAGGTCTTTGTAGAGTGAACCTTCTTTCCGGTGAGAAGAGAACACACAGGAGGACTCCAAGCTTTGCCCACAGTCCCATACTCCACCTCCTCCTGCTTCACTCGGAGTCTTCACCCCCTTCATTCAGAGGCTCACAGAGTGTGTAAGGATGCCAGCCCTGGTTCTGCCTAGAGCTTCTGTAGGCCAAGGCTGCCCTCCGAGGACCCCACCTGCCCTGTCCCTTCCACAGCTTGGTACCCTTAGAGCCGTGATGTCAATCTTGTCCAGCTGGTGGCGCAGTTCTGCCTTTGTGTCCTTCCTGAAAACCAGCCCAACAGTGGAGCTGGTCAGCAGGACCACCCCAGGATGGCTACCTCTGACCCATGCCTGTTGCTGTCTTGGCCCCTCTCCCTCTGCAGCCTTTCAGAGGGGAGGGCTAGAGAGAAATGGGTTGGGTTTTTTTTTTTTTGAGTTTTTCTGAGGAGGGTGCAGTACCTTTAGAGCCAGGACCAAAGGACTGTGGGTAGTGAAAGGTACTCAAGGCTACTGTGTATCAATGTTTGGGGTAAATGTGCAGGTGGCTTCTGGCCCCTGGGTAGAATGAGTAGTCAAAACTCTGTAGCCCAGCGGCTGTTGAGATTCAAACAGGCAAGGGAGCAGCTAGGATTCAGCTCCAACTCTTAACTGGCAAGTTACCTATCGTTTCATCAGAGAAGGCTGTCTTTAGTGGCCCTCTCTCTACACCCATCCAGACATCTAGGCCCATGTCAACCCTGGTGGAATCTGGGTATTTCTAGGCAGACATGTAAAGCTGTGAGTTCCATGCCCCTTCTCCCCCCCCTTGTGTCCAGGGGAGAGACGCTGCTAGCCTAGGTTTCCCCAGTGTTTCTAGGGCCCGTGCCACCACTGCAGCCAACATCTGACCCTCTCTTACTTCTCAGGCCGTTAGGAATGAGGGGGACCTGGGCCAGGAATGATCTCTATGGGGAGAGCTGGGGACAGAGTGCAGGGGTCATCCTGCCTCAGGGAGGCTGGAATGCGCCTGGGCTCTGGCTCAGCTTGAGCCCATGTGAGCATATCACCTGAGCCGCCCCCTTCCCCAGGGAGGCCTCCTGCCTTCTCAGTCTGAGTGCATGGAAGTGGCCAGGGCTCTGCTCCAGGATCCTGGGATGCACCATTCCAGACACTTTTTTCCCCTTCAGGGTCCTTTTAGAAACATCCACTTGACTAATCGGGCACCGTGTGTTAGAGGCAGGGTTGGATCCCCCGGGTTCTGACCTGGACCTGTCTTCTACTCAGTCTCTCTAGAAACATGAGCATCAGCCGGGCCATGGAAGACAGTTGTGAGCTGGACCTGGTGTACGTCACCGAGCGCATCATCGCGGTGTCCTTCCCCAGCACAGCCAATGAGGAGAACTTCCGCAACAACCTCCGTGAAGTGGCCCAGATGCTGAAGTCCAAACATGGGGCCAACTACCTGGTGTGTGGCCGGGCCTCACCCTTCCTCTTGCTCATCACCTCTACACCAAGAGTCTCTGCCTGCTCTCCCCATGCTAGCATCCCTTCCCTGCATTACCCCTGTCATCTTGCAAGGCCTACGGCTTCACTCTATCTCAGGGAGATTTGGTTCTCAAGGGAGGATGCTAGGTTGAGTGGAGCCAGGTGTGTGTTTTTGAGTGTGAGAATGTGTGACCACTTAGTGTGTGTGTGTGAGAGAGAGAGAGAGAGAGAGAAAGAGAGAGACGGGCGGGGGGTGAGGGTGAGAATGTGTGAATGTGTCAGTGTGCAGACTAGAAGAGAATAAGGAAGCAGGTTCACGTGGCTGAGCTTACACTACAAGCCAGGCCCTCCGATAGCCACTTTATCTTCAGAACAGCCCTAGAGAGAGAGCCGAGGTCCGTGTGGTGGAGCTCCTCTGTGTGGAAACTCTGGAGCAGACTTGGCCATGTGCAGTTTGGGGGACCCTGTGTCTGGCTAGAGTCACCAGATGTCAGGGAAGTGGGAGGGAGAGATTGCCTTTACAGCAAGAAGTTGGCCATCCCTGGAGGGAGGCTCAACTCCTTGCTCAAGGGAGCCATGTGGGGTCTGGACTGCTGGCCCCGAGTCTCTGGGTGCTTCGTGCATGTTTAACAGGGCTAGGCTGAGAAGGTTGCACAAGGGTGCTGGGGTTGCTGGAACAAATGGCTACACACTGTTCCGCTTAAAATGACAGGAATGTGTTCTGGAGGCTGGGTGTCTGAGTGTCAGAGAGGCCATGCTCCCCTGAACCCTGAAAAACTGCCTTCCTCCTCTCTCCCCCACTCCTGGCCACTCCCAGCACCCCCAGGCATTTCCTGGCTTGTGGCCGCTCTGCTCCATTCTCAGCCTCCACCTTCCCACAGCCTTCCCTATCTCTCGCCTGGTTAGAAGGACATCGATAATTGGTCTTAGGATCACCCTGAATCTAAGAATATTTCCGAACAGGATCCTTAATTGCTTCGAAGTTCTGAGTGGACATGTATTTTGAAGGCCTCTGTAGCGATCCATCTGTCATCTGTACCCAGTATTGTGACGAGCCTGGTTTCAAGGGTCAGGAAGTCCTGGGTTCTCATTGTGGCTCTGTGATACCTGAATGCATGATCTTGACCATTAGTTTTCCCATCTGTAGAATGGGTGTTGCTGAGGGTACAAAGCCAGCTCTCTGACATAGTTAATGCCATTCAGTGTTTTCCTTAATGGGGCTGGAGTCCTGTGGCTCCAGGAATGCAGAGTTCTAGGATGTTGGTGCTTTATCACAGCCCCTCCTTCCTGCCCATTCTAGGGTCTGTCCCCTCTCCTCCTAGGAGATGACATAGTTACTGTCATACCTGTGGTGGTGAGATAGAGGCTGGCAATTCTGCACAGTTCTGTGTGTGTTGTGTGTGTGTGTGTGTGTGTGTGTGTATGTGTGCATATGTGTGTGTTAGTGTCAAGGAACATGGGAGATGGTAGGCTGTGGGATGTGAGGAGGCTCCATGTGTTTGAGGGGGCCCTCCAGGATGCCCTCATACCCTATGGTGGAAGATAGAGAAGCATCGTTGTCAGGGGATTTGGTCCTAAAGCCAGAGGAGCTCACCCACTGTCACTCAGTACTGGAGGGCTGGGCTCCATCCCATCTCATCCCCCCAGTTCAATATGTTCAAGCAAGGGGCCTGGCTGTGTGATAGCTTCCATCTTCCCTGAGAACTCACTGCTGATCCCGTTGGCTAACGTGTATGGTGGGAAAAAAAATTCTATTAGTGGAGGGCGTGATGGCAGGTGTAGGAGTCCAAGAGCGCATGGCTGGCCTGCGGTCGGGTTTCTGACAGCTGGGGACAAACTCCCTCCTTGACCTTTCTTCCCCTCACTCTTCCTGCTCTCTCTCTTTGTCTCTTTCTAGCTATTCAATCTCTCCGAGCAGAGGCCTGACATCACGAAGCTCCATGCTAAGGTGGGTCTGTGGCTCTTTTGGGGTGACTTGACCTGGTCTAGCCTGGGGTAGAGGAGAGAGAACACACCCCCTCTTATGTAGTGCTGAGGCAGTTACAAGTTCAAAGGCATCTCAGGTCTTCAAGATGCTATAGTAGCAACTACTGAAATCTCACACAGTGGTCTCTGACCTCGTCTGCCCCTGGGGAGGAAACACCCAGGGTTTCTGGGATTGGGGCTGGGGTTGTGTCTTTTCTATATGTCCCTGTCCCCAGGGTTTACTTTGCTTGCTAAGTGGGTTTTTAGAGACTTTACTGGAGTCCTTGTCTTCCATCTTGTTCATTATGGGACCTCAGGCAAGTAACATATTTCTCTGTGCCTCAGATCATGTCTCTGAAAGTAGACAGCTGGCATAAGCATGCTCTACGGACCCTGCCAAATAGTGGCACTTTTTATTTAGTGTTTTGTGAAACTAGAGAGGGCTCGAGGAGGCCTTGAGGGCTTGAGAACTGAAGGCCACTGGGAAGTCCTGCTTCTGAACACTTCAGACTTCTCTCAGAAGCCTGGAAATGGACAGTTGGTATACCTAGGAACCCGTGAACATCAGGGTGCCCTTTCCCTTCCTCTGTCACCCCGAGTCAGTCTTGAACTGGCCTTGGAGGGGAGCTGGAGGGCTGGGCTTCGGGCTTCTCTGGGAGCTTTGAGATCAGTCCCACAACGTACACCTTGGCACACACCTGTGAGGACCTAAGACTTGCCTAAGACCCCACTTTGAGCCTGGGTCCCAGGTCATGGCCTTTGCTCTTCTCGCCTCTCAGCAGGCCTGGGGAGCAGGACAAAGGGCAGAAGCCTGGCTGCCAGTGGACACTCCCATGCTGTGCTGGCTGGCTGGCTTGATGGAGTCCCCAGCCTTTCCCTTTCCTATTCAACCGTAGGTCCTGGAGTTTGGCTGGCCTGACCTGCACACACCGGCCCTGGAGAAGATCTGCAGTGTCTGCAAAGCCATGGACACCTGGCTCAATGCAGATCCCCACAATGTTGTTGTTCTCCACAACAAGGTCAGAGCAGGGCGGGGCTGTGTGGGCACGCATGTACCTGTGTGTGTGTGCAAGCGCAGGTGTGTCTGCACACCTGCCTGGGTGTTCAGATTGTGTGATTTGGATCACCCACATGCCTGAGTGTTTTATTCTAGAGCGTGATAGAGTCTGCCCAAGAGTAGGCCTCCAACAAGTGGGGGCAGGGCAGTGGCTTATGTTCCTCGCTGTGGAGGGTGCGCTGGCTTCTCTGACCCCCCCTCCTCTTGCCTCCTTCCCCAGTATTCCCCTTTCCCCATTACTCCACCCTTCTCTCTCACCGTTGGCCCCCACGCTTCTGGATAGACTTTGAACAGCAGAGCCTGCTTTGAACAATGATTGCTTTTTTGCCTCTTTCAGGGGAATCGAGGCAGGATTGGGGTTGTCATTGCCGCGTATATGCACTACAGTAACATTTCGGCCAGGTGAGAGGCCAGCTGTCTTCTGTCCCAGCTTCTGTCCCCTTGGCATTGATGTAGGGACACCCCTCTTCCGCCTACATAGTTCCTACTTCCCTGAGGCAAAGAAGCATTGTGTAGATGGAGGAGCAGCAGGGATGAGAGGCGCAGGGCCCCCAGAGCTAGAGAAAGTGCCCCAAGCTCTGAGGTAGGATAAAAAAAACAGCTGGCAACAGGGAGAAGAGCCTTATCTTATGGGGAAGATATCTACCCGACAGCTTTGGACTAGTTGCCTTCTGTTTCCCTGGATAATCCAGGAAGGAGTAAAGAAGAGATGTTGCATCAGAATTAGGCCCAGGGGACAATCTGGAAGTTGCCTCAAGCCAGAGGGGCTCTCTTTCTGCCAGGGTGTTTAGGAGAAAGAATGGGAAACCTAGCCAGTCCGCAGATCCTGTTCTGGCCCCACTTAGCACAGAGGCCAAAGGCCTGTTTGTTCATGGTGGTTGCCAGGAGGCTATGTCTAAGACCATGTTATAATGGTGCTTAGAAGAAGGTAGAGGGTACCATGCAGGTCCTGCCTCTGAGAACTTTAAATAGAAGTTCCTCAGCAGCACCCGTGATTTTGGCTATGAAAAAATAGAGACTAGAGGTGGCTAGGGATATGTGGCCGGGACACCTGTGGCTATAGCGATGTGGAGGATTTCTGTAGGTCTTAGAGAGAGGATTTGTGGGTTGGAACAGAGGGCCTGATGGGTATAGAGTCAAAGGCTTGGGGGCAGTCAGGGTAACAGAGAGCAATGGCCTTGCTGGCCTTAATGAGCACTTCGTGTTTACTGTAAGCATGGCTGGAAGTTATTGGAGTGCCAGAATTATCTCTGCATGCTCAGAGGGTGTGTGGAGGGTCTCAGAAACCAGCCTTGTGTCTACTGAGTGGGCACGTATGCAACCATGGCTGCCAGGCTCTTAGTGGGGTCACCTCATCCAATCTCCTTTAAGCCTCATTTGATGGGGGGGGGTTATAGAAAGGATTGTGTCTCAGAAGTCAGTTAATAGTTGTCCAGAGATGGCTTTTGAGCCCCTGTCTCAGTGCTGTCCCATATGGATTGGAGATGCTTGAGCATGCCCTTTCCGAAGGCTTCTTGGTACAGCGTGTTTGGAGGAAGGGTTTGTCCTTCCATGGCCACCAGGGTTGGCTGGAGGGCTGTGCAAACCCAGGGGAGCCTGAGAGAGGGGACAAGAGGCCCTTGGGTGTGGGAGTAGGCTCTTCTGATTGTCTTTTGTCTCCCCACAGCGCCGACCAGGCTCTGGACCGGTTTGCAATGAAGAGATTCTATGAGGACAAGATTGTGCCTATAGGCCAGCCATCCCAGAGGAGGTGGGTACCCAGACTCCAGGCCTAGTGTGGGCACTCCCTGTGGTAGATACTGGCCTTGTGCATTCTCAGGGGGGTAAACATCTGCTTAAATGAGGGTGTACCAAGTACAGACATTCTGCCAGCGGTGGTACAGGTGTGGTGGTACCCACGGGTTGGGGTGAGCACTACCACACCCTAATCTGAGGCCTCCAACAGAGAACAGTCTGTTGTGGCATGGCTGTTGGGGAGCAGGTACCTGTATAAGGAAAGCACATGCTGTTCTTGGCCTGAAGGCAGGGTCACTCCAGCCTGTGGATGAGTACGGGAGACACTGATGTCCCTGATGCTTGTCCTGGGAGGTCATAGGTAGCGCTATAAAGGGCGCCTTTTCTTGGGAAAATTTATAATATTTTGCTAAGGGCCCCGGCCACATGTTATCACTGGAGTGTCATAATAATAGCCCAGACAGGAAGTGAGACCAGATGGAGTTATTAATCGCCAGTGTTGAGGAACTCTGTTGTAGCAGTGGCCACTAGGATATCCAGGCTAACAGCAATGTCCCTTCCTTTCCCTGAGGGGGTTGTGGTTGAGAGCGTAGGCACTAAACTAGTGACCATCCCCAAAAAGAAATATGCCAGATAGGAAGCAGGATGAGGTGGAGAAGGACATGGGGGTAGGGATGGGGATACAGAGAGACAGAAACAGAGGGACAGGGAGGGAGAGAACAGAGGAGAGAGAGAGAGAGGGAAGATGGAGAAAAAAAGACAGAAGAGATGGAATAGAGGAGAGGAAAGAGATAAAGAAGAAAGGGGGGTAAAGGAAGAGAGAGGATTCCTAAGTTGTGGAGTGCTACAGCATTGAGCGGGATGGAGGGAACTGGCGGTTTTCATGGAAACTGCCTGGAGTCTCTGGGTGGAGGTGACTTTGAAGCCCTAACTTGGACAGTGTTGATGCCCAGGGGCACACTTCTTTTACAAATGAGAAGCCCAAGGTCAGGGTGCAGACATGACCAGGGGCCACAGTGAGTGGGGGCTGAGCTAGAATGTAAGTGCTGAACTGGGAAGCAGGGATATCTGGCACCCCCAGATACGCGGCAATGCTACCTGCTACCTGGAAGGGGTCTGCCCATGCATGATGATACCTGATTGAATGATGTCTGGCTAACGGGGCCAATGGCGTGATCAGCTGGTCATGGGGAGGCTGCAGTCTCTAGCCTAGGCTAACGACTTAGAGAGGAGGAAATCTAGTGTGGCTGTGTAGGCCTGCTACCTGCCTGTGCTGGTTCAGCCCCATTCCCACACCAAGGACAAGGCACCAAATCTGTCACACAAGGATGGGTACAGACAAGCTTCTTGTGAACAACTGTTTGTGCTTACAAACAGGAGATTGCTATAGATATCAGCAGGCATCTTTGAAGAAAGTTCAAACCATGGCCGCTAGAGTGATGGGTGGGCATGGGGCTGACTCAAAATGACAAAAGCCAAGGTTAAGGTCTGAGTGGACAGTGTGAAGGGGGCGGGGGTGTCTCAAGCCAAGGGTGGGGAGTCTGGGCAGAGCAGGCAGGAAGGCTGGAGGCTAATGGCCCCCATGGCTTCTGTGTCCCCTGGGGACTTAGCTATAGATTCTAAGGGCTGATCCTGCCTCTTGCTTTTGAGGATCCTCAATACACACCCCCATGTCTCCACCTTGCTTATCTGGATAGGAGCTGCAGTCACTGCTGGGGACCATTATTGTCATTGTATTTGGAAGCCCAAATAAAAGCACATGCTTTTATTTGCACATGGTCTAAGACTCTTCCTCTGGAGGAAGTATGGCAAGCCATGTTCGAGCTCCTGGGGGTCTGGCACACACACATGACAGCTTGGTCTCAGTCACCTTTGACCCTCAAGGTCACAGTCTATTTACTAATAGGGATATGGACCATTGATGGGTCCCACTGTGTCTTGGAGAAGGTGGGCTGAACAGTCATTGTGATTTGGCTCCCCGAATGCGAAAGAGAAGAAGTCCAAGGGATTTCTTACATGCCTACATGCGAGGCGGCCACCATGTGGATTTGTCTGTGTGTGTTATCTGTGTCTTCCCACAGATGCCATGGGCCACTGCATTTGTTGAGGGGGTGGGGGTAGCAGACCACCCTCTCAACACACATGAGAAAGTGCAGCTGTGGGTTTCCGGAACATTCCCTGCCACTTTCCCTTTGCTTCCTTGTCAGTGTTGCTTACAGGGGACCTGGCAGTTGGAGAGGGAAGAGCAAGGAGTGATTGGGAGGGGCTTTGCCTGTGGCTCTCTCACTCGTTGTCACCCGCCCTTGGACTCATTGTCCCCAGAACACAGACACATCCTGTTGGCCTGGTCAGGAGATCTGATGGGAACCTGCCATTCCAGGTTTCCGGTTTGAGTAACGGACCGGGGAGGGGGGGGGGCTGGGCAGGGCCCTGAATAGGAGCTGGCAATGCCCATCAGATTATCTTGCTAGGGGAGGCCGAGATGGCCCCACCCAGGCTCATAGACCGGGCCTGGAGGAGGGCCAAGGGGCCAGGAGATGGGGGGTGGGGGGGAAGTGTCCTGGTGTCATAATTAGAGTCTTACCCTCCTGTGGAGCTATTGGCTCTTGTAGAGTTCCAGTTTACATTTGATTGGTGTGTCTGGTTCAACCTGGTTCTCCAGCGAATCAGAAAAAAGGAGGAAATGTCAACCATTCAGCACTAGAGGACTGACCGGGTGGTTCTGGAGATGCTTTGAAGTCCAGGCTTCTCTCCTTCTCTCTCCCATCCCCTGGTTTGTGTGATCTTGCTGTGCGTCACAACTTTTTATGGACCTGATTTTTCCCTCTTGGTATGGAAGGAAAGGAGATGGCTCAGTCCTTCCGTTCTACCAGCAAGATCTTTATTAGAAGAACTAGAGGTTGCTGCAGCTGCTTGTGTAGGTCAATCTGTTGAGTGGTTAGCATGCAGGAGACACTGGGTCCAATCCCTAGCATGTCACACACACACCAGAAACATAAACAAAACCCCCAAAGAAACAAACTAAAAACCCAACTGCAAACCAACCTAGATTTAGAATATTTAGGAAATTAATAATCTCAGATACCAAGTAAAGAAGTTAATATAGAAAACTGCGTACATTCAGCAGGACATAAAATAAGCACTGCAATTATTAAGCGTTTACTGTTCTCTGGGTGTGAGAGAGAGAGAGAGAGAGAGAGAGAGAGAGAGAGAGAATAAGGACCTAATATAAGCTTGCAGTGGAAATAGTCATAAGTGGGGTTTGGCACAGTCAAGCTATTAGGGGTGTTTGGTTGGGCGGCCTGCTTTGTGCAGTTGAGAGCTGCTAAATTGTGCCTGCCAGCGATGATGGTGTGATCCCTGGGTGGGAACGAGGCAGGAAAGCGATGCTCATATTCACCACAAGGGGGTGCTAGAGAACGCCAAATGGGATCCATGCGCTGCAATTTTTCAAGTCTCTTGTTCTTTACCTCTTGGGTCTCAGCAAGTTTGGAGGCCTGCCCTGGCTGGAATAACTCAGCTGCCCTGTGGCCTGGGTGGGTGCATGTCATGTGGGTTGGGGTAGATGGCAGCCTAAGGTGGTGTTCTTGCAGAAAGAATGAATGGATAGAGGGATAGATAAATATGTAGATGGATGGGTGGGTGGGTGGATGGATGGATGCATGCATGGATGGATTGATGGGTTATCAAATATGTGGGTGGATGGGTGTGTGCATGGGCTTGTGGGTGGGTGGATAACTAGGTGAATAGGTGGGTGAGTAGACGGATGGGTGAGTGGGTGGATGTGTGGGTGGATGAACGGAGGACTTCCTAATGCCACCTTATCCCTGTGCAGGTATGTGCATTACTTCAGCGGCCTACTCTCTGGCTCCATCAAAATGAACAACAAGCCTTTGTTTCTGCACCATGTGATCATGCACGGCATCCCCAACTTTGAGTCTAAAGGAGGTACCTGCTCCATCCCTTCCCTCTAGCTTCTGTTTCCTTCTCAGCAGCCTTGGGTGGCAAACCATTCTCCACGCTGTAGTGTCATTGAGGCTTGTGTGGGGCTCTCAGCAGAGCTCAGTGAGCTCAGCCCTTCTCCTCTGCAATGTCGGGTTGACACCTGGCCACGCCTAGTGGCAGAAGACACTAAAGGAGGCAATGCCTTGTCCACTTACAATGCCTTAGAAATAAAGTTAGTCTTCCTGTTCTCACTTCCCCTTTTTCTCCTCTTCTTTTCCTTCTTTCCCCTCCCTATGTCCCTCTTCCCCACCATCATTTCTGCTTCTTGCCTCACGTCTTCCCCTCTCTGACAGGGTGCCGGCCATTTCTCCGTATCTACCAAGCCATGCAACCTGTGTACACATCTGGCATTTAGTAAGTAGCCTGTGAGTGAGGACAGGGGGTGGACGGGAGGACGGGAGAACTGAGCCTAGTTCCTCAGCAGCACTCTTCCTCCCCATCTCTCCCCCTCAGCAACATCCCTGGAGACAGCCAGGCCAGCATCTGTATCACCATCGAACCGGGGCTGCTCCTGAAGGGAGACATCTTGGTGAGCTCCACCCTCCTCCTCAAGTGTCCCTTCTCTTGTCCACCCTGGGGGACAAGGGGAACACAACTTCTCCTGGGTAGGCCACTGGGTTTGGAACTGTGGGTTCCCATAGTCTTCCCAGCCTCACGTTGTCTTGGTCTAACTTTCTCCCTTGGAGTAGATCGTCTTTTCCCAGTCTCATCTTTTGCTCTGGGACATCGCTAGGGAACTGCCACTCAGGGTGAACTGTGACCTTCCAGCTCTATCCTGGTGGTGATAAGACACACCCAGTCCTAAACTCGGACCAGCTTGTCTCTATTTGAAAGCCACATTTCCTTTTTGCATGTCCACCTGTATTCAGGACGTTCCCCACAACTCCAGACCGTTCCTCTCCTCTTCTGCTCTAAAAGTTTCCCAAAGAGCTGAGATCCTTTTTTTTTGGAGGGAGGGGTATTGGTGACCTCTCTCTCCCTGGGTTTGGGGTGAGCCTTGGGGCTCAGCCAATGGAGCCAGCCAGGAGGCTCCCTGAGACTTGATCATCCTCCCCCGTTGCCCCCTTCCACCTAGCTGAAGTGTTATCACAAGAAGTTCCGTAGTCCATCTCGAGATGTCATCTTCCGCGTGCAGTTCCACACCTGTGCCATCCATGACTTGGGGGTTGTTTTTGGGAAGGAAGACCTGGATGAGGCCTTCAAAGGTGGGCTCCCTGACTGGGCGTGGGGGTCAGGATGGGGTGCCTGTAGCAGGGGAGAAGCCTGGTATGAGATGATGTAGTGGCTGCTGGGGCCATCTTCTCTGAGTCACACAGTTTGCTAAGTCTTAGCAAACTGTCTTAGACAGGGTGAGGGAACAGAAGGTGAGTCGTGACAGGACAGGACTGAGGTTAGGAATTCGGGTTGTAATAGAAATCAAGATCAGTTTCTCTCTGGCCCATCCCTGAGCTGCAGGGCCTCTGGGCTGTTTGTTGCTTCCCACTTTTCTCTGGCCCTTGCTTCAGATTGTCTCCTTCTTGTCTTACCTCCTTGTCTCATGTGAGCATTGGGAGTCAGTTTCCTAGCATTCGCAGGTGTTTTAATATTGGGCTCAGTATTAAGTGCTGGGATCAAAGTGAGGCACGATGTGGTCTCTGTTTTGATAACCCTAAAATGTCTTAGGGGTGCAGCTGAAGCGGGAAACAAGCATCCCTCGGGAGGGGCGCATGTAAGTAGGGGTGTGCCTAAAAGGAGGAAGAAATGTGGGACTCTCAGGGGAGGCTGGAGTCTCTTCTGCTCACTTGAGGCTATATCTGAATCACTTTCAGGCCCAGAATATTTGTGTGTGTGTGTGTGTGTGTGTGTGTGTGTGTGTGTGTGTGTACACAGGCATTTGCACACAAACACACATACACATATCTGGATCCATGCATGCATCCGTTTGCACATTTATTCCCTTAATCACCTATTAACACACTGTTTATCCAACCATTCTTTCATCCATCCACCTGAGCATTTATTCTGTCATCTACCCATTGGTGTGTCTGCCAGTCCACCCACCCATCCATCTATCAGCACAGTTGCTCACCTGCTAATGCGTGCATGCATGCATCCCTGCATGCATTCATGCATTCATGCATGTGTTCACTGTCCACCCAATAGCATCCTTATTCACCTACCCCCCCCCCCCCAAGCATCTCCTTTATGTTAAAACATGGCAGATGTGTGCTAGATTTGGGAGATGTAAAGAGAAAGCAGTTAAACCCTGCCTTTGAGAGTCCCCAGTCTCACAGGAGAAGCATGAGCAGGTGTGAAGCAGTATGCACAGAGAACACACATATCAAATGATGGTGCCCCACAGAGCAGATGCGATCTTCGTTAGGATCTCTTCTCACAGGCAGTGGTTGGTGACCCAGGCCTGGCTGGGCTCAGGCAGAAGGCATGAAGGGGCCAGCTCAGAGGAGGGGGTCAGAGGAGGGGGGGGTTCACATGGAGTGAGAAGGATGTTCTGTGAAAGCTCTTTGCATCTAAGCCAGGAGGACCAACACGGGAGGTGCTGTGAGTTTCGGGACAGATTATAATCAGTCTTGAGGGGATGAAGGTGGAGCTGACAAAATCAGGAGGAGGCTGAGGAGACACAGAGGGAAGGGGGTCCCAGTTCTCTCTTGCATGGTGCTAGTCTGGAGGACCATTGAGAATCAACAGGCCCACAGACAGAAGCTTTGCAGTGTCTGTCCTAATTGGGTTTACTATCACTGTGGTAAGACACCATGATTAACTTGGGGTTGGAAGCAACTTGGGGAGGAAAGGGTTTATTCAGCTAATGCTTCCCCATCACAGTTCATCATCACACAAAGTCAAGACAGGAACTTAAGCAGCACAGGAAAATGGAGGCAGGAGCTGATGCCGAAACCACGGAGGAGTGCTGCTTACTGGCTTGCTCTCCATGGCTTGCTCAGCCTGCTTTCTTGTAGAACCCCAGGGATACCTGCCCAGGGCTGGCACTGCCCACAATGGGCTGGGCTCTCCCACGTCAGTCACTAATTAAGGAGTATATCTATAACCCCAGGACTCAGGAGGCTACGGCAGGGGGATTTTGAGTTTAAAGCTAGCCAGACCCCGTATTAAAAGGGGTAGGGGAGGGTAGAAGAGGTGCTTCCTAGTGGTGAAGCAAGAGGGTCACTTGGAACTGATTTCTAGAAATGACGGTGCAGACAGTGATTATGATGTAGAGCCTTACATGTGGGATACTATAGAGTCAGTAACTGGACAGGTTGTGTTTTCCTCAGAAGTAGAACCCTGTCGAGGATGGGGCCTGAACTGTCAATGTGAGACTGGGCTGGGGGTGGACCTCAGTTGGTAGCATGCTTGCCTAGTGAGCTTGTGAAGCCCTAGGCTTGATCCCCATAATCTCCACACTCATGGGGTGGAGGCAGGACAGGGCGGCAGGTTGAAGACCGTCCTTAGCTACATAGTGTGTTTGGGGCCAGCCTGAGCTACATGAGAACCTATCTCGGTATTTTTTGTCCCCATGCTTGTAAAAACCCTAAGCTTTTACAACTGTGTAAAAGATGAATGTTGTTGTGTTATTAACCACATAGGCATATATGATTGAATTCTTTTCTAGAAGAAACCTTTCTCTTTGGGAATGTGTGTGGCCCAGCTTCTCCTTTCCTTCTCTTTCAGATGATCGGTTTCCTGACTATGGCAAAGTGGAGTTTGTCTTTTCCTATGGGCCAGAGAAAATCCAAGGTATAGCCCCTGTGACAGGGGCTTCCCTTCCCTTCATCCTCACCTGTCCCTGTCTCACTCTCAATGGTCAGCTCTATCAACACGTGATTTAGAGGAGGCCAGGGTAAAGAATCTTGGACTCCCGGCTAAACCTGATCCAGCGCCTCATTTGCTATATAATAAAAATAAATGCAGACAGTGAGGTGCTGAATTGACTGAAATGTTCTGGTCCCTTAAGGTTACCATCTTGTTATATTCAGAAACTGAGGGCCTCAGTGGATGGAAGGGACAGCCAGGGAACATTCAGGGGTGCTGGGTGGACTGTGGGTATTTATGAGCTGAAGTGGCTCAACCTGAAGTCTGGTTTAATAATAACCTTTTTCCTCTAGACTCTAAATATGGAGACCAGTTGCTCTTCATCTTTTTTGAGAACAGAATGGGAGGAGATGAAGTTAGGTTCTAGGCAGAGGGACTCTGGGTAGACTAAAGAAAGGACTGCCAGGCTGGGAAAATAGGCTACTCTGAATGGCCTGACTAGTTTTTGTACAGACCCTGTGGATGTAAAAGAGAAATAGCCTGTTCTTGCAGATGTGTGTCTGAAGTAGGGAACGTCGTAAGTGGGGGTAGGGGCCAGGCCTGGGATGACCTTTTCCAGTCTGTGTCCTCTCAGTGTCCCGGATGTGATTTCTCTGCTGTCTCCACCTATGGGTGGTTCTGGACAAGGCTTTCCCCTGTCACTTCTCCAGTCTGCAGAGCAGACCCCTGCTCCAAGGCCAATGAGAAAGCTGCCCAGTGGGTGTGTACTTGCTAGAGAGAGAGAGAGAGAGAGACTTCCTTTTCAGTGCTCTGTCCTGATTTGCCCCTATGACCTGGTCTGAGACTCCCGGGATCTTTGGGCAACCTAAGCCCCACCCTAGACCTCAAAGAAAACAAGTGGGTTCCTCAGGGATGGTCCACAGGGCAGCTCACTGGCCCTCTGTTTTCTAGAAGCTGATCTCTTCTCCTCTCTCCCCTGCCATAGGCATGGAACACCTGGAGAATGGGCCCAGTGTATCTGTAGACTATAACACCTCCGACCCCCTCATCCGCTGGGATTCCTATGACAACTTCAACGGGCATCATGAGGATGGCATGGAAGGTAGGTGACAAATGGCTACCAGGTGAACTGTGTAGCCCTGGCCTGCATGACCTTGGTTCTCTGGCCTCTCCATATAGAGGAAGAGGTGGCTTTAAGTGTAGTATGAATCCCTGTTCTTTCTCTTTGGAACCTGGGTGCCTCCAGGCTGCTGTCGGTGTTCTTAGATAGAGGTCAGGGCAAAAAGCCACAGAGTGGGGACAATTCCTGTGCCTACTTAAATTGGCTGAAAACACCAACATATTTCATTCTCAGCTGCAGGTGGCTTGGGAGAGCTCTGTGGCCAGTCCATTTATTTGTTTGGCTCTTGGAATATGTAGGAGGGATGAGGGGTGGAGTCTCTGAAGAGGAGTTTGCTAGATAGGGCACAGAGCCTGGTGATGTCCCCTTGGGTTTGGCCCTAGGTGTTCTTTTTTTTTTTTTTTTTTTTTTAGTTTTTTTCCTGATTCAGCTACAGGATGATAGGATGTTAGAGCAGGCTGGAGGGCCCCCTGTGTCTGTTTTCAAAATTGGGTAACCTGAAGATACCTGATAAGCTAGGGCCAGACAAAAGGAGAGGAGGAGACACCCCCTCTCAGTGGACTCAGAAGGGGGCAGGGAGGAGTGAGGGAGGGAGGGGAGGATTGGGAGGGAAAGAGGGAGAGGGCTACAGCTGGGATACAAATGAATGTATAAAATTATTTAAAAATAAAAAAATATTTAAAAAAACAAAAACAAAATTGGGTAACCGAGATCTTCTGAAAGGCAGGACTATGAGTTACTCCTCAGACCCAGGCTGTGCCCTCTCAAGGACACCAGTGGCAACGCCTCCCCACCAGCTGGGGCTTGCTGTGGCGATGCAGTGGTACTGGGAGGAAACACATGGTCTGGGACTCTCACCTGTCCACCTCTGCACTGCTGTCCCCTGGTACCTTTACCCAGGCGTCCTCCTGTATGGCACTACTCTGGAAACCATGCTGCAGACACCAGCAGATATCAGAGAGGCTGGAGGAGGGAACCTAGATTAGAATTCAGGGGTTCCACGAGAGTGCATTTATGTGCACCACCCCAAGGTTGGTGGCTTGCCCTTGGGTTCTCTCTCAGAGCACCTTCTTCTCCTACTATGGTCCTTGTCCCCCACACCCAGTTCCTATCTTCTGAGTGGCTGAGTGGCCTGGGTGTGGGGTGGACCTAAGGATGGAATCATTCGTCTCCAAGGCTGCTGCCACCAGCCTCATTTTGGGGAAGTTTGCATTTTTAACAAGAACACTTGGCAATTGGAAGGAATTTTTAATGCCTCCCCATCTCTCCCTGGTGCAGATTCAATGCGGTGATAAATTTAAAAATATTTCATGAGTTCTGAAGTGCCAAGAGAATAAAAGTTAGAATAATTAGGGGCCAGAAGGAATGGATGGGGCCAGCTCAAGGAAAGGAAGGAAGAACCGTGAGCCAGAGTCTGTACAGGGAAACCTGGGGTAGCAGGTGGGTTCAGAGGACAGGCAGGACAGACAAGGGATGGCCCTGGCCAGCCCTGCAGCCCTCACCCCATCATCTGCTTCCCTAGCAGGGCGATGGAGCCCAAAGGACCTTGGGCCAGTTAAAAGGTCAGCTGGTCCTGTCAGGACAGAGGGGCTCCTATTTGCAGGCAGAGAAGCTGGCCCTCTGCCCATAGAGGGGCAGATTAGGACCATTCTGTCCCCTTCCTGGCCTGACCTCACTGAGCCCAGGCTGGGACAGTTACCAAGAAATAGCTGCCCTGCGCTCTGACTGTGTGCTCTTTGCTGCCTACCCCTGGGCTGCATCCCCACTAGGCCTAGAGACCCCATGGCTTAACCTTGAACATGTACTGTGTTCCAGTCCTGTCCCTGACTGGGGCCCTTTTGTGGAAGGTCCTCTATCCTGGTACCTAGGGGAATAGACTGTTTTTTTGTTGTTTTTTTGTTGTTTTTTTTTTTTTTTTTTTTTTTTTTGGTGTCTAATAATCAAAAGAAGGAACTGAGGACTACTTGTTGCCTTAGTTATGGGGAACATATGTGCTTAGGCTGAAAGGAGGAGACAGTGAGAGAAGGGAGGAAAGAGATGGGTACCCACATTGGAACTATGGTCTGTCCAGAGACAGTGGCCAGGGAGAGAGGTGAACCTGTCGTCTCAGGGACACTTTCCTGGGGGTCTGTTGTCTTAGCTGTCTCAAGTGACCATCTGAAGGCACCACAGGTAGGCCTTGAGTGACAGAAATAGGCTCTCATGGGTCTGAGACTGGATTCTGAGACCAGGGCTGATATCTGTGAGGTTTGGCCCTCAGCATGTAGACTCTGCCATTGCCCTGGGTCCACATGTGTTTCCCTCTGCGTGTCTGTATCCTGATCTCCTTTTTATGTAGAGAGCATAGGCATACTGGAATAGGACCTTAGTGACTTTCTTTTGCTTAGCCAGTAACTCTTTATTTTTTTTTTAAGCCAGTATCTCTTTCCTTATGTAGCCACTGTGCTCTGCAGCACCTGTGGCCCAGAGGGGATGGCTCAACCCTCGGTTCCTGACTGGGGAGAAGTGAGGGTCCTGGGTTGTGGCAGAGAGCTGTCTGGTCCCTGGTGCCCTCCTACTCAAGAGTTGTCTCCACCTCCCTTTGGGTTGCTGTGGAGTCTGCCAACTTGGCCCTGGCTGACACCACAGTTTGAGCCTCCAGAAGTCCCATTAGCTTCTTGGCCTGAGTTCTGAGCCCCATGCCCAGGTCCCAGTACCCCTTGGCTAGGGCCAGGGCTTTGTTTTTTGCCTATGCTGCACAGAGTAGTGTCCAAGTTCTTCCAGAGGGTTCCAAGACACCACTCTCTGAAACAAGTTCCAGTAGCGGGGTGGGGGCAGCCTCTGCTCCTGAGGAGCCGAGGAGCTGGGAGGCCGAGAGGCCCCAGGGCCTTTCACTTGCTGTCCTCTGACTCCTTGGCTATCAAGCTGTTTGAAGTCAGGGTGGGGAACCAGGGCTGGTGCTGAGTAAATGGGAGCACGGATACAGACTCTCAGACTGGAAGCCAGGGTAAAGGGAGAAGAAAGTTCAGGCCTAATGGGGATGGCAAGGATCCTGGTATCCCTTGCTTCTGGGTTTTGTTTGTGTGAGGTACCCAGCTGAGCCAGGGCAGGTGGCCAGGGTTTTGGTTTGATGTCCAAGCTTATAGGTGCTATGGGCTCTGAGGAGAGCCTTATGTTTTCTTAGGGAAGAGTTCTAACCCCCTTCAGTTCTTCTGTCTCAGCTGAGAAGAGCCCTTATCCACAGTCAGGAGTCCCTGGTCTGGGTGACTATGGAGGTGAGCTCGTCCGAGGAATGACTTCTCTTTTGAGAGAGATGGGGGAGGATGGGGGAGGGAAAGATACTGCAAACAGGCAGCAAGTGAGCAGAGAGACCCAGAGGAATGACATAGAGAGATGGAGAGGAAGACCTGGGCTAGCCTGGTCTAGGGGGCCTGAGACTTGGGTCCCTGGTGACCCCTTCCTGTGCATCTTCATTTTTGTTGTCCTTATAGAAATCAGATGTAGGAGTAGACAGCATTTCTCCTCATCTTGAGCACAACCACTGCTTCCTTTGAGGTGTAATGAGAGGCTGAGATAGTCCTGCCTTCTCAGGCCCCAGGGGTAAAGAGAAGGCAGAGTGGTAAAGAGAAGGCTGAGATAGTCCTGCCTTCTCAGGCAGCACAGGCTAACATGCTCCAGAAACAATCTGCCCTGTTCAAGCGTCCTCTTCCAGCCAGTCATACTCCCTGCTCAAGGTATCTGTCCATTGAAGATGGGAAGAGGCCTCTGTTCATCATAGTTGCCCTGATGAGGGTGGCGTCATCTAGAACTGTCTCTCATTGCGGACACCACAGGAAGGGAGGCTCTGATGTGTGCTAGGCTCCTGCCAGGAACTGACATATTCGTTTTGCTCACATTTTGCTGGCTAAAACAAACCCAGGTGTATGTCTAGCTCCAAAGGGGAGCTTCTGCACATGCACAGAAGGCAGAAAGCTTGAGGACAGGTAGAACAGACCACTCTGAGACCATGTCTGTAAAACAGGCACCATAGCAGGACCTTCCACTTAGAGGTGATGTTCAGAGTCAGGGAGGGTCAATGCCAGCAGTTCAGTGTTTGTTAAGTGCTCTTTTGGCAGGTTTGCTCTCCCCCAGCCGTCAGATTCCTTATCAGTGAGTTAAGGGGGCTGGATTCCTAAAGTGACTTCCAGCTCTAAACCACAATAAAGGTGCTGCTGCTGCTGCTGCTGCTGCTGCTGGTGGTGGTGATGATGATGGTGATGGTGGTGATGATAGTGATGGTGATGATGGTAATGAAGATGGTGGTGGCGGTGGTGGTGATGATGATGATGGTGATGGTGGTAATGATAGTGATGGTGATGATGGTAATGAAGATGGTGGTGGTGATGGTGGTGATGATGGTGATGGTGATGGTGGTGACTGTGACACAGTGATAGCACATTCTGCGTGCTGGGTGTTTTGGTAAACCCTCTCCCCTAAACATTGCTGGCTGAGCACTGTCCTGTCACCTGTAGACCTAGCTGGAACATGTAGGAAGTGGTCATAGAGCCACTTGGTTATGCTCACCTCTGCCCTTTTGCTCTACTCTGTACTTTCCCATCCCCATGACAAGAAGGCCAGTCCCGTCTGTCCTCCGGTTACTCTGGCATGATGGAAGATCTAAAGGGCTGGCAAATTCAGACTTTAAATCAGAGTTTGCTCCTTGCCTTGTCAGCTCCTGCCTGGCCATCACTGTGTGCATCACAGTGTGCATGTGGCAGGTTGTATGTATTTGTGTGGCACGCATGTGCACATATTACAGAACATAGAAGCTTCAATGTTTACAAGGCATACGAACTTGAATATCTCAAGGTAGGAAGAGAGGTCACGAACATTCTAGAACTTTCTTGCTTACCTGGCACCACTGAGAGGCTGGGCAAATCATCTGTGGATTCAGAGGTCTGCAAGTATATGACTCCTGAGTTTCTTATCACCAGATCTGGGAAGTTCTCATACATCCTACTAGC